TTTCTTTCAAGATTTTATTTATTTATTTGAGAGAGGGCAGGAGAGAGAGCAAGTGGGGGGGGGGAGTAAAGGGAGAAGGAGAAGCAGGCTCCATGCTGAGCAGTGAGCCCGATGTGGGGCTCGATTCCAAGACCCTGGGATCATGACCTGAGCTGAAGGCAGACGCTTAACCGACTGAGCTACCCAGGCACCCCTATAGTCATCATTTCTGTGGCTAGGCACATAGTTATGGCTGGTTTCCGCTACCCATTTCATATTCCCTTTGCTCTCCGCAGGACCTCAGCTGGTCATGGTTCTCATCCTGGTGGGGTGACCTAAATTTTAATTCTGGACCTTCAGCAGTCCTGCCTGAATTAGATTGCTGTAGTTTTCCATTGACTTTAATCACAAGGCTTGGCTATACTAAGAGACACCCTAAGTATTCTCCTGCGTTCTAGTCCTACTCTTCCTTACATCTGTTGTGTAGTAGCAACTCAGTTGCTCCAACCAGTACAGTTACCTTCTTTGCTTGTTGATTCAGAGAGACGTGGAGCCCAAAGTGATTGGGTGGCAATCTCAACTTCTAGTTCAGTGGAATCATCGTGTCTCCTGGTGGAAACATTTCTCCCTTTGGAACTAGGACTCCTAGACCAGCAGAGCTTAAGGCTGATGGGATGGGAAGCAAACCGTTTGCTAGTGGGCTACTAGGGATAATAGTGGGTAGAGTCATCCCCGTTTCTGCCCCTTGAATCTTGGACCCCAGCATCGTGGCTGTGGGAGAGAGAGCGCTAGATATTGGTGGCTGATTGAGAACATATATGGCCTCCCAGAGGATGCGCCAGCCCTGCAAGGTATTGTACCTAGCCTGCACTGTAACTGAGGCTTCACCGGGCCTCCATAGTTCTATCAGGCTGGCTGCTCCTATGGGGATGATTTTATAGTGAGAATAGTTGCCCTCCTTTGTGAAGCCATTTTTGTTTTTTGGTATACATTCTATCAGAATGAATGTCAGGGGCACCTGTGTGGCTCTGTTGGTCAAGCGTCCGACTCTTTGATTTTGGCTCAGGGCATGATATCGGGGTCATGAGATCGAGCCTCTCATAGGGCTCTGTTGCTGGGTGTGGAGCCTGCTTGAGATTCTCTCTCTCCCTCTGCTCCTCCACCCCCTTTAAGAAAAAAAAAAGAACGAATGTCATCTAGTCTTAAATTTAGACTGTACAGAGTATTTGTTTACATTTGAGCTTGGGATCATTTATTACAGTAGTACTTTTGTCTAGATTATCTATTTTCAGGCAAACTTTCTTTTTTTGTTTATAATTTTAAAAATATGTGAAATAACCAAAATATATTCAATATAAACTTTCTTTTCTCTAGGCAACAGTCCCTATTCCATGTTCTTGCTGCATATTCTATTTATAACACGGTAAGTTGGAGCATACCCACTCAGGGCTCTTTGAGTTGTATTCTGAGGAACAGGAGGAACTCTTTGGGCACCCCCTGCCTCTGTGGATCTTTTCAAGGCTTCTCTGGTGACCTTGGGATCTTAGAACAGAGCTGATTCAGAAGTGGGAAAAACCACTTTATGCCAGTGAATCTCTCATTTTTCCCTCTTTCTCTGGGATTGTTCTGTTGTGGTGTTGTTTGTCTTATTTTTATTTTACACAGTCGTGCTGAGAATGAGCAGGGATAGAAGTTTAGGAATTTGGTGGGCAGATGAATTTTTGCTCAACCTTGCTCACCCTTCATCACCCCTGGGAGTTTGCGTTTCAAGGTCACATTTTGTTTACTCATTGAGGGCCAAACAGGAGACCATGTGTACCTACTTGCTAACCCTAGGAGTAGGCTACAAGTAAACTTTTTGGTAATAGAACATGTTGTTCTTAACATATCTATCATTCGGGGGAGATGATAATTTGGGGAAAGATAATTAGTGTTGAACCTAATGTGGATGTTAAATGCTTATTGATTAGGTTCTAGAGAGGACAACCTTGGACCTTGGGTGTGTAATTTCTCTTAAAACCTTTAAGTTACAAGAAATTTCAAACTAGGGCAAGGTAAAAAAAGAGTTTATTAAAGGCCTTTTTTGTAGAAAGGAAGTAAAAGTTGGGCCTCTTGGAAATTGGAGCTGGAAAGTGAGAAGCCTTCACTGAGAAAGAGCTACTACACTTTCTGTCTCCTACTCTGGGGCCACACAGTAACTGATTATCTCTGTAAACTGCTTGTTCTGCTGTTTCTCCAAATTGCTTTCTTTGCCTACTTTTCAGTTTTCCCATGGCTAAAATTGCACCCACAGACTCAACATGACCATTCTGTTTAAATGCATCTCACCATCTGATTACAGATATCCTGGAGAGAGTATGTGATTAGTCAGTGCAGCCAATTAACTCTTCCCCTGGGGTCAAGTGACCTCTTCTGCTCCATCAGCTTTGGTTCATATGGCACAAACATGAACCTCTAAGGCCACATTACTAGCAGGGAATACAGGGAGAGTAGGCAGTTCTCAGAGAAGGGACATAGACTGGCTCGGTATCCCAAAATGTGTCTCTGTAAGGGCCAGGAAATCTAGAGGAGACAAGACAGCAACTTGGGAACTGTAGAAGGAGACAAGACAGCAACTTGGGAACTGTTACAAGGAGAGAAACTTGCCAGCATTTGAACAAAGAGGAGGAATATTGAACTGAGAATAATATATACAAAGGAAAAAGAAACTTTTAGTTTTCTTTACAGAAGGTATAATGGTATTGAATAGGGCACAATAAAAATACATGTAGCTTGACACTTTGCCCATGCTTCTACATTTATTTTTGAATACAGATTTATTCTTTTATAGTATATAGCTCAGTGTTGTAAAACTGTAGTCTTTATCTGTAGAATTGTCCATTATTTCATGTGTCTAACTAAGCATTTTCTGATTATTTTGTTGGGCAGGTTTTTATATGTGCGTATGCATGTAATTGGATCTTAAAATCCCCAGTTTCTTTGTTCTCATTTATCTTCAGGAAGTTGGATACTGTCAGGGGATGAGCCAGATCACAGCTTTGCTCCTTATGTATATGAATGAAGAAGATGCCTTCTGGGCCCTGGTCAAACTATTCTCAGGCCCCAAACATGCCATGCATGGTAAGAAAACCCATATAGTTCACCAAAAACAATAAACAAGGAAGGGAGAAAAAGGTAAATTAAATTCAAAGTTTGAAAGATGCTTGGTAGGGTTAAGTACAAAAACTTAATATCTGGGGCTGTTCAGTCAATTAGTGTTTGTGAGTCATTTCTTATCTCCTCCTTTATTGAACTTTGCTAAACTTTTCTGTTCACACTTAAATTCCTTTATGTTTACCTCAAGGTACACTGTTGGCATTTTGAGATTCCTTCCTTACTTGCCCCCAGTCAGAAGAAACTAATTTAGGTTTGGAGGAATTTAGGAAAGCTATATTAATGGTAGAAATAAAAGATGCCTTTGACTAAAACTTTTAGACTGTCATGCAGTTTTCATTTCAGTGAAATGTGTGTTTTGGTTCTCTTAGCCGTAAAATTGATTCCATTTTACAATAAAAGGCTGCTGATAACATGTTGTGGGTATTTCATTATTTAATATCTCAAAACTTGCATGAACGTTTGGTTTACAAGTTAGGAGATTGTTTTTAATAACCTTTCCCTTATATCTGCCAAGCATATACAAGAAACTTTAGAGTTTGGATTGCATCTTCTTTTGGAAATAAAAGTGGCATTTGCCCATTTAATGCAAAATGATTTTCCCAGTGCCATCCACGTGATAATACCAAAATAAAAACAAATTTTTAACATGAATCACTTGAAGAATAGATCATCTAAGTTCCTTTTGTGAGTAAGCTTTATGTGGTGAGGAACCTGCAACATGTTTAAAGTGATATTTTAACATTTTCAAAATTATGACTATAGTTTATTAATTCTCACATTCTTACCGTGTGGTTTTTGTGGTGGTATTTTGTGGGGGGGGGGGTGTGTGTGTGTGTCCGTGGTTGCACATTTGGCCATCTCCCTCACTTTTCCTTGTGAATATTTTTTAAATGAATACTACTACTAATGATAACTGTTTCTGGACACTTTGCATCCCATCAATAGACTCCAAAAGTAAGACGCAGTATATCGAACTGCCATCCAACAGTATCTTTTGAAAAGCCATCTTGAAGAAAAATAACTCTCCCTCATCCACCTTTATTTTGATTTACCATGAAATAAATGGTGTTGCTGATCTGTGTTGAAGTACAAAGGGATGTTACAGTTTCAGTAGTACGTTAATTACGTGGAAAACTGCCCAAGTCTAGGAAAGTCATTTCTTTTGAACACACCTGATAAGCTTACATTCAGCAGTTGTCACCAGTCTAATCTATAAAGTAATATTAATTTTACTATCCTAATATTTGCATTTACTGTGCAGGTTAGGTCATTATTTTGGTTAAGTTAGTATTTAGAGATACTTGTTTGTAAGTCTGCCTATGGAATTTTATCACTGAGGGTTGCCTCAGTTCTTTGCATCTTTTACATGATAGTGATGTCACTTATAAATGTCCAGAATAAAGTGAGGGCTGAAGAAAATGAGATTTTAAAATACCAAGTCTGGGATATCACTACAAGTGAAGTAATGTTAGTTATCTTAGCATCCTTGAGCTAGTATTTATTACTGAGGGGCATTGCCTTTTTCAAAATGAGACTTTTTCTTGAAATTCTTCTAATTCCCATTCCTATCAAATTGACCATCAAAGTGGCACAGATAGACAATACATATTTTTTTATGGCATCAGAAAATATTACTATGGGAGGAATAGAATCTCTATCTCTGGAAATTTTTACACATAAGTATGTTCCTTGAGTTCTTGGAGGAATGCAGTTTCACTTTTTGAAAGCAGGTGTTTTTGTGGGGAGAAAAAATGGGACTCCAAGATCAAATAAGTCTGGCAGAGTGAGTTAATCAAGCAAACAAAGTTTCTTTAGTTTATAAAGCATGTTAGAAAGATTGAGAAGCCCTTATGCATCATGAATATGCCAGAAAGTTTTGTGGAGCACATAGTACTTCCCCTGGATTCTTTTTAAAAAACATAGGACATCTATTAACATCTTTCAAAATTACATAAAACCCAGGTTGGAAATAACTAATGTGGAGAAATGATAAATATGTTGAGTGTATAACCTTTTTAATGGATCGTGTAGAATATCTGAAAGGAAACTTGTAAATAAAAATAGATGTAAAGTTCCATGAGTTAGATACACAAAATCAGTACTAACTTACCATTTACAATTAGTTTCTTCCTAGAAATCTTAGAGATTCTGTTGTATAATGAGATGGGATAAACTCTAGTTTCTGATACAACATTGATCATTAGTGTCATTATGTCTTAGCTGATGTCAGATATCACAGAAGGGATTAAAAAGTGATAAAAACCTTGGAAGCATGATACTAATGAAGTTTTTAGAGTAAACCTGAAAAAAGGAATAAAATGTTTGTTATGTAGCATATTGACAATAAAACAAAATAATTCCTCAAGATTAGAATAACTTATAAGAAATTTGTGCATTTAAGATATGCTTTAAGATACTTGAAGAGAACAGACAATCCTGATAAATGGCTTCAGTTTTCATTTTTTTCTTGGTTTCTAAATTTCCCTTTTAATTCAGAAATATTCTGTCCTCTTTTATATTTTTACAAGGTTATAGGAGATCTTTACCAAACAGGTACTAGATTGCAAATTTCATTGCCCAGAGCTTACACACAATTATTTCCTTGGTGAGGAGGATAAGTATCTTAGTAACTACTGGATTTTTGTTGTTGCTGACAGTTAAAAATGAAAGAAATGTGTTGCATTTTGAAAGGGGTTTTTGTTGCTATTGTTTATGAAATACTGTTTTTATGTTTGTATTCTAGGCTTTTTTGTTCAAGGTTTTCCTAAACTCTTGAGGTTTCAAGAACATCATGAAAAAATACTGAATAAATTTCTATCCAAGCTTAAGCAACACTTGGTAGGTAGATGTGACATTGACTTAACACCCACTTACACCAAGAATAAACCTAGAAGAATTGAGTGCAGCCTTTGGTCCCAATTGCTTTATTGATTTGCGGTGTTGTCCATTTCATTTACTATGCATTTGTAATTCCCAGGTGTTTGAAGAGCATGAGATTTGTGGAATTTAGTATTGATGAATCATCACAGCCCTAACTCATAAAATCACACCACTTCTTTGCAGATGAGATATACAAATGGTGCAGTTTTTAACGATATGTGATTTCTTGGTAATTTTGGAGGCCTTTTTATTGCACCAAAAATACTTTAAGGGTCATACAAACTCTGTCCTTAGTGAACCATAGACATGCTGTACTATGAAACATGATAATTTAGTGAAGCAGAGATACTTCACTGTAAAATGTATTATAGAGAATCAAAATGTTATATTACAATCCTATAGAAGAAGGATTTATTCTTAAGGTGATTTCCAAAAGTGAGATTGAGGGAGAAAGAAAGTAAGGAGAAAAAACTAGAAATACTGCAGCATGCAAAAGATTTGGAATGAAACGGTTTTATGTTTAGCTTTGACAGCTACCTCCAACAGCTTTCGTAACTTTTAGTATTAGGTTGTCATATTTTATTTGCTGCAATCCAGAAATTTGAAGTCTTTGTTTTTTTCAGGATTCTCAAGAAATCTACACAAGTTTTTACACAATGAAATGGTTTTTTCAATGTTTCCTTGATCGTGTGAGTATTTCTTTACAAAACCCAATCATAAAATTATAAGTACCAGACAAGAGTGAGCTGTTAATCTTATCTTGTTTTGTTTTTAATTATAGACTCCTTTTACACTAAACCTCAGAATATGGGATATCTACATCTTTGAAGGAGAACGAGTTCTTACCGCTATGTCTTACACAATCTTAAAATTACACAAAAGTAAGAAAATGTTTAAGTATAAAGATTTCACAAAGATCAAGGCTTGATTTAACTCTGATTTCTCATTTCTCACCCAACTTCAGATTCATTTTCTTTTAGTGGTGGATTTAAAAAATTCTTGAAAGTCAGTGAAGAAATCATGTTCAGGTGGTAATCGGCTTCCATCAGTTCTTTCTCATGGCTAGAAGCTGATTACATTGCAGAGGTCTTTGATTTTTTTTTTTTCTCTATTTCAGTTTAATTTTCCCATTTAAGCAGTAGAAAGCAATGTGTTGGTTTCACTAATAATATTATTCTTACTAAGTATTTGTTTCCTTATTCCTAATACTGCTTTTCATCAGTCTGAACTTCTGGTTTGTAATCAGAGAAGAGAGAGACCAAAGAAACCAGGCCCTTAGTTCAGAAGTCTGGTGAAGATATTTTCCATCACTGTTTCCTCCATCCAGGCAAAAGCACCCATATCCAAGCTGTAGACCAGAGATGGGGCACCTCCTCCTGCTCATCTCTCTGCTTGACTGCATTGTGGCCTCTGGGGCAAGTACAGTCACTTGTTGGGTAAATGCAATATTCGGCTGCAGTACTTCAAGGGCTCTATACATTTGGCACATGGTGCCTTACTTTAAAAATCAAGAAATGAGAGTTTTCTTCTTGAATGTGAAGAACCTTATTCATCTTAAAGTCTCAGTTCAGTCTTTAAAATTAAAACTCCTCCTAGTCCATCGTCTTGTAACTCTGCAGAGAGGAGAATCGTTGAAAGCTTTAGAACTTCACGGAGCACTTGGAGTCTAGCTCTTACAACGTAGTTCCACATTCACTGATCATTCTCCTCCCTTAGGTTATTCTTGAATGATTCTTCTGTTCAGCTTCCCAACTAAATTATAAGCTGATTGAGTACTTGGGGGTCACGTTTTGTGAGGTTTTTTTTCCTGCTGTGCTTGACGTTGCTCTAAGTACATGTTAGGTATTTTAATATAAAATTGTTTGATTGCTTACTTGAAAGGCAGGCCTTTGGACTGTCCAAACTTTAGAGAGAAATGAAAACTCCCTGTAAAATCAAGTCTGTATTAAAGATAAGGATTCAGAAGTGCTGTGGTTCATTTCCCTTACACCCAATCCTCACTCCTCCAGCATGCAAACCACAGCATCCAGAGAACTGTCTCCCAAGACTCACGATCTGTCTGAAAACTGCAGGAAATCTATCTCTGTCTCTCCCCCACCTGACTCCCCCACCTCCTCCTCTTCTCTTTCCCTCCCCTGCCCCTCTTCTCCTCTTCCCGCCTTTCCTTTCTTTCTGGATTATGAACTGACCAAGATGTGGAACAAAAGTATACTTTTTATTAAAATATGTGCATATTGGTTTAATGTTCACTAAACAGCAAGAAAGTGGAAACATGATGTTGTATTTCTCCATAGCTCTGTTCTCCATCTTAAATTATGTTTTATTTATATGAGCCTTGATTAATTTTGGCAAGTGAAAAGTTTCTTCACCCTTTGCAAATAAACTTTAAAGCACAATACCTACTTTATATCCTATCATATCATCACACTAAATAGCTGTTGGAAAAAATGTGTCTACTGCTATGTAGTTTTTTCTCAGGAAGACAAGAGCTCAAGGACTTATATGAAGTTTCTTCACCGCCATATGAAGCTTCGAAAACTCTGTCTGGGCACCTTAACCAAGAGTTTAGCTAAAGCTCCTAAGATTTTGTTCTTGTTTTTTTCCTGATTGTTTTAACAATATTTAGAGACATTGTTACGGGAGGTTTATCACACACTGGTTTTAAACAGTAAAAAAAAAAAAAAAAAAGTAATAACCTAAATGTCCAGTATTAGAAGACTGATAAGTGAGTTATAGTACATTATAGTATATCTGATGGACTCAAAGTATAATCAGTTTTTTAAATTGATACATGTGTACACACATCTACTTGTAGGGCAGTGGCTAGTGGGATCGTAGCTGATTTTTGCTTTCTACTTTGTAATCTGAAATTTTTTAATTTTCTTTTTTTATTTTTTAAGATTTAATTTATTTATTTGACAGATAGCACAAGTAGGCAGAGTGGCGGGCAAAGGGAGAGGGAGAAGCAGGCTCTCGCCTGAGCAGGGAGCCTGATGTGGGGCTCGAATCTAGGACCCCGGGATCTTGACCTGAGCCGAAGGCAGATGCTTAACCGACTGAGCCACCCAGGTGCCCCTGTAATCTGAATTTTTTTAAATAAAACTAATTTCATAAGTAGAAATACAAATAAAGTTAGTAATCAGATTTTTTGGAAATTCTGAAACCGTAAATATAGAGACTTGAAATAGGTTTGCCTGTGGGAGGTGGAGTTCTGTAACAGTAAAACAGAAAGCCCTCATGTCATCTTGGGTGGCCTGTGTCTCTAAGAAGTGCTTGCTCTGGGTCAATATTAATGTCTAAGGTGTGATGTTCTTAAATAAACCCATGAAAAGGTATTTAGCAGTAATCACCTCTCCCTTTCTCCCCAAAGAGTAGATGTGACTGCTTGGGTATCAGAAAATACTTTTATCTTAATTGAGTATCAGTGATGTTTACAGTGCTGTGTATAAGTTGTATGCTGTGCCCTTTTTAAAAAATACTGCACCAGAATAGAATACGTTACCGTCTCAACCTGAGTAACTGTTGACTCAGCATTTGTATTTCTCTGATTTGTTCTTAGAACATCTAATGAAATTGTCTATGGAAGAACTTGTAGAATTTCTTCAGGAGACCCTGGCAAAGGATTTTTTCTTCGAAGATGACTTTGTAATAGAGCAACTTCAGATTTCTATGGTGGAACTAAAGCGCGCAAAATTAGACCTTCCAGAACCTGGTAAGAAATATTCAAACACTTTCTATATAAGTCATAATTAAAGTTGGGAAATGGTGCAGTGAACACGGGCCATTTCTGTTTCAGAACATAAGCATTATGTGTACTTGTGATGGCAAGCTGTTTATGGCTTTGTGCTTATTTTAAGAAAAAGCAAATAAACGCATTAATGAAATCTGCCTCTCCTAATAGAATAACTGTACTATCCCTGCTTAAATTTAGAATGTTTGGATGGCAAATACTGATCAAGAGAAGTAATCATGGTGCTTTAAATGAGCTAAACAATAACCTTTACTTTCAGCATCTCATTTTGTAAAACCATAAGGAATAGCAGAGAAAATAAAAGATCTATTTTATAGAAGAGGACCCAGATACTGAAATGCTTCTGTCTGAAGCTACAGAACCAGCAGATGGCGTTATTGACACTGGAGTCTGAGCTTTCTGACTGCTGATCCAGGGCTCTTGGCAGTATGTCGCAGTGTAGATAATAGATTTTATTCGCTTATTTCAAAAGCTCTTCCAGCACCTCCTAGTAGATTTTCTGTGAGGTGCTGGGCAAGAGATTCAGCAACTGAAGAGAAGGACATGCTTCTTGTCTCAAGGTGCACACAGGAGACACAGAATTTATATAACTGATAACAAATGAAGTGTAAGTAAATAGGATAAATGGGGGAAGGATCAAAGGAAGGGTCGGATGAAAGGGAAGAAAAAAGAAAATGAGGAAATATCTCAGCAGGAATAACTTTTTTAAAGTTTTGACCTGGTATTGCTTGACAAGAAATTGTTTCCTGAGAAAAAGTCATTTTTCGCCGATTTCCTTTCTTGTCTTTGTTCCAAGCCAATCCAGCTGTGATGCCCTCAGGTAGAGTAGGAGGTAGCATTTCCCGGTCAGTGTGGCGCATATTTTGATGTCTTCTTGAAGATGTCTGTACAGAAAAACAAGCAGAGATGCGTTCATGGAAAGCACATCTTTTTCCCTTTGGTAAAAACCAAGATGTTCTGCTTTTAGTTACTTCATTTTGAGGGGTCTAATTGGTATTCCTCCGAGTTCGTTCTGGGTCATCAAGATTCACTAGAAAACAAACTTACACAGCAATGATTGATGGTAGTCAGAGGCCTTGTGCAGCATCACCCGTGCTAAGTGAGGACACCTCTCTCATGTTCAGTGTACTAATGTCCGTTCCCCACTGATTCTTTACCGTAGCAGGGAGCGCCCGTGGAACAGCAGTGACTAAGTATTCTTGCCACTTTAACTTTTATTTCAAAATATGGTGCCTTTTTTTTTCAAAAAAGTCAAGACATGTTTTAGTAAAAGACATACAGAGAGAAAATATTGCAGAATAGGATGATTTAGCATCTAACTAGGAGCTATTACTTTTTGAATGCTTAGGATGGGCCACAGGCTACATGCATTATCCCATTTAATCCCTAAAAATAGCTCAGAAAAAGTACTCACCTGCCTTTTACATGTGAATAAACTTAGTAGTATATAAGATCTTTTTACTAGGAGGTGGTAGAATGGGGATGGAGAGGGGAGTGCGGATAAAGGGAGAGGGAAAGATAAATAACACCAGGCACATTGGCTAAAGCTTGCCCTGATCGTACTGATAAGGTGCAAAGTGGTGAGGTAGCTCTGCACTTTAGGACAATAATCTGTCTCTCATCTGTATTTCTACTACTACTACATTTACTTTCTGGGCTTTGTGTTCTGCAGCCTGCCCAGTGTCATCCTCTTTAAATTACTGCAAGCTATATATGGAACATTAAGATAATTAAGTAGGGGCGCCTGGGTGGCTCAGTTGGTTGGGCAACTGCCTTCGGCTCAGGTCATGATCCTGGAGTCCTGGGATCGAGTCCCGCATTGGGCTCCCTGCTCGGCGGGGAGCCTGCTTCTGCCTCTGACCCTCCCCCCTCTCATGTGCTCTCTCTCATTCTCTCTGTCTCAAATAAATAAATAAAATCTTTAAAAAAAAAAAAAATTATGGGATGTGGCCATGAGAATGAACGAATCACAATGACACATGATGAGGAGGAGGATCAGAAACCAGAAGAAATGAGGGCGCCTGGGTGGCTCAGTTGGTTGAGCGACTGCCTTCGGCTCAGGTCATGATCCTGGAGTCCCGGGATCGAGTCCC